CATGTTGCTGCTGATCTGTTTCAATGTTGATGTGTTCATGCGTGCACATCTGCTCACAGACTCATGTTCATGTTTGTGCTGATGTTCAATGTTTTATGTCATGAGTGCTCAGTGTATATTTAGTTGATGTTTTTCTTAGTTCATATCTTAGAAGCTATTACTGTTTTTCTTATACATTTTATTGTTGGATGTAACTGGGACCCTGTGTACATAATTTCACTCCACCACATGTACCACATGAGGTGCGAATGACAATAAAGAAACTCTGACTCTCTGACGCTTCACCGGTCCGTTTGCTGCTTCACCGCACGCTGCTTCACCTGCCACACCCCCCTCTGCTGTCAAATTCTTGTCTATTTATTAGTTCCGGTAAAGCTGTGACCCCGATAATTTTCCTGTGGATTCGTTCGAGGCTGAAATGCACATCTACAAGACCATCTTGTATTTATACTAACACAAACATTTTTATTTCTATTTCCTTTATTTAGGTCCAAGGTAAACCATTTTTCACAAATACCTTCATTTAGTGTGATGTCACACTGCGATGGCGTTAAACTCAAAGCAGTCTGCTTCTCATATAAATAATGTTAAATTATTATTTCTGAATATGAATGTTTCTGTTAACTTATTTTATATATCACTGAGATGACTTCTGTTGTGACTTGGCGTTGTATACCGGTAAATACAACTGAATTGAATTGAATTGAATGGATGGATGTGTAATGTGGGATGCATGTTGACGCTTCTGTCATTCTCAAGCTTCATTCTTATAACATTCTCTGACACTTTTGGCTTTTATTTAAAAACAAAAGAAAAATATGTTAACATTGTGGACATAGTTGACAATGCTAGATCTTATTTCCAACAATAGGTGCGTGCCAGTCTTCTCACTGTTCATTCAGCTGCAGAGGGCAGAGTCCTGTGAGTGAGGAGCTGGTACAGCGTTCTTATTATTTCGACAGAAACCAAATGGAGATGAACGAAATGAGCAAGAGGACACGGATGAAATGTTCATTTTATCTGTTATTTTTCATGTGAATACAAACATTACATTTGACAGTCTGAAGCAGCAACACAGTTCATTCTCACAGCAGACTTTATTGATCAGCTGAGAGCAAATGCTGGATTAAAAAAAAGTGATTTCAATTTCAATTAACCCCCCTTTCTCTTTCACACAGTGGGATCCCTGGGAAGAAATGTGGCACAATCATCCTGACTGCAGAAGAACTCAGCAACTGTCGAGTGAGTAAACTGTAATCTTTATTAAATGCGCTTAAAAAAACATCTGGTAGCAAAGCTTGAAGAAAATACTTGTATTCAAGATGACTGATAGAAGGCCAGGATGGGTGGGTGGTGGTATTTTGTTATTTTTTTGGGTCCACTTTGTGGAAAACAATTCATTATTCAAACTGGAAAAGTCATGCTGGTTCCACAGATACAATCCTAACGTCATTTGTGTTTTTTAAAGCAGGTTAATTGTCTGTTTATGCAAAATGTTCGCATCCAATTTTGATGGTATACTTTATTTAAAATCATATCACACCAGCAGGAATAATACAAATTCATGTTTTATTTGAGCAATATTGTTTGAAATAATTTGCACATGTTGGACATATCCAAAGAAAATGAAGACATTTTATAAACACTACACTTTATTTTCCCCACTAAACAGAATTTCTTCAAATGTTACAGAGATCGAGTTACAAATGTGAAAATACTGAGAAAATATATCCTGCTTTTTTCCTATCAACAGATTTCTGTAGGAAACTTTGTGTTCATGAGCTGTAAAACAGTGATAGAGGCATAAATGTTTAGTACAGGTTTTTGTAGAGGAATATGAAAATACTCTTTAAAATCTGCACTACAAAATGAATGAAACTGGATCTTTTTGTGTCTGATATGACACATAAATTAAACAGTTTTATGACTCCCCCAGTCCTCAGTTTTTCTGTCCATTGTGCTTTATTGGAAAGTAAAAAACTTTAAAGCATGTGCACAATTGACCAAAAAGGGGAGTTGCAACAGAGCTTTTACTCAAAACAAGATTTGATGTGGAAAGGACACAATAATACTTAAAACATGTCTGGTTTTCATTGAATCAGTCTTCAATGAGCTCATTAACATCCATCTCAGTGAAAACACGACGTGGAAACATCCACCGTCTCATGTGAGGTGTGAATCAGCAGTTTGCTGGTTTTATTTTGAAATCACCGTGTGTTTCACGTTTACATGAAAATCAAACTTCTACGAGAAAAGAGGAAAGATTAGACAACAGCTGGCTTATTCAAATGTTGCAGCAGTAATCCGTGGGAAGATATTTAACAAATAATGATTTGAGGCTTAAAACTTTACTTGTTCGGGTAGATTCCTGTAAATGGAAGCAAAAGACATTTTTACGTGAACATTGATCAAGCTGATTTCGGAGTGCGCTGCTTCAGTCTAGTCCTTTTGGTTGGACATTGAACTGCTGGAATTGCAGAAGAAACCATTTGAGGTCATCTTCAAAACTCTTGTATGAGTGGACACGAATCTGAACAGGGATTGTAATGGTTCAAAGCTTTTCATCCATTATCTTTACTTGTATATTTACCTATATCCTGTCATGACCTTGTGGGTTTGTGTGCATTTTACCGGTTGAGTTATTTGTTTGTTTGTTGTTTTCCACTTGTGCTTTAATAAATATGAAGCAGTTTGCTTTGTTTCCTCTCTGCACTGTTTGGTTTCCCTTGGTTCTTCAGAGTCTTTCACACCTGCCTCACATCTGGTAATCAGACCAGCTGTTCCTACTCAGTAATCCTCTCCCTGTACCGACACGCTCGCCTCTCTTTCACTCGTCTCTTCCTACTTTTTGTTCTTGGGTTCCTCCTCCAGCTTTCTGCGTTTCCCCTCGCAGCCTCGCTTGGCTTCCCGTTCTCACTAGAGTAAGTTGTTCAATTATTACTTACTCCTCAGTCCATTAAGTCTATATTGACAAATTCTGTATTAACCAATACAGAAGAAAAAAAATCAAGAAAGCAGAAATAAACATTAAACCGGTTGCTGACTGTTTTCTGGTTAAAGTTAGGATTGCTTATGGATTGCAGCTTTTCTGCAGGGGTTGCTCCCCACTAGCTAAAATAGATGTTGCACAACCAGAACCACACAATGAGTTAAATGAATTTGCCTAAACTCCAAAATGAACAAACGGGGGAAGCTGCAGAAAGAGGGGAGCAGGGGGTGTCTCACTTAAGTAAGCTGCACATCTGTGGGGTGGTTGCCATGATTGCAGGTGAGGTTCCTACCTCAGAAAAACAAACCAGAGCTCCATTACCAGCCTATCAGCTTATTACTGTACTCATTAATACTATACTTGTTTAACCCAGTGCGTCTGTCGGTCAACATTAAAACGCCTCTCAGGTTTAGAGCAGCTGTTTGTCACGTGGGGCAGTGACTGTAATGAAACAAAAGGAGCTTGATGGAGGTTACTCCTGAACAACTTTGTTTTCATATCAGGCTCCTCTCTTGTGAAACCAGCTTCCAGTTTCTGCCCATGAGGCTGACACATTGTCCAGTTTTATAACTGGGCTTAAGACTTTCCTTGTTGATGAATCCTATAGTTAGAGCTGGCTTGTTATGCTGCTATAGGCTTAGACTACTGGAGGACACACTGACCTCATTTATTTAAATGAATTGTTACAATCGGGGCTTAATTTGTAAATTGATCGATGCCAGAACGCAAATAGTGGGGCGGGACGGCTGAGTGGGGCTGGGGGTGCTGGGGGGGATGGGGGGCTGGGATACGCGCATGCTCACAAGAGAAGAAGCTGACAAGTTATTTGACATGAAATCTATTTTGCTAGCATAGAACAGAGTCCTTACATTTATTAAACATTACTTCTGTTTTTACTGAAAAATAAAACCCATCAAAATTGTGCTTTGACAAACTAAAAAAACTAAACAGTTTTGTCAAAGTGAAAGAGGAAAGGAGGGGCAGGTGTCGCTCGCTTTGAGTTTAGACTCTTTGTCGCATGCGTTCTGTGTGTGGCAACGCGTCCGGAGCGTCATAAAAACAGCAGCGGAGGTGTCGGAGTCATTTATTTATCGTCTCAACAGCAGAAGGGAGTGACACAGTTCTACCATGGCTCCCCAAAACACAAGGCAGTCGTACTTCTTCATAACTTCATTAGTAAGCCTGAGAGTTGCCGGACCCAACGGTTACCGGAACGCACCCTGACAAAATGAGAGAGTTTCCAGATCTTGTTCTGGAAGGATCCGGTTCAAATAAGTACTGGTTACAACTGAATAGTTTTCATTTTGATACTATTTCTATCTTAACATGTGATTCTCGGCCTGCCATTGTGTATCTGTTCCTCCTTCCTGTCCCTCAAACCCAGACGGTCGAAGCAGATGGCCACTTGTCCTGAGCCTGGTTCTGCTCAAGGTTTCTTCCTCTTGAGGGAGTTTTTCCTTTCCACCGTCGCCTTCTTGCTTGCTCAAGACGAGAGCAACTCAGTCTGTTCCTCAGATAAATAATGTTACTAACTCACTTTTTATGTACCATACATGAACGGTTCTGTTCAGTGCCCTGAGATGATGTGACCTGGCGTTATATGAATAAAATAAAATAAACTGAATTGAATTGATGCTGCTTTGCTTGCTACTCTGGGCTCCTGCAACATGTAGATTAGGAGACGATTTCAGGATAAAAGAACGCAACAAAGAAAACGGCACAAAAACAGAAGACAGAAAGGAAGAGCCCTTTAAAACTGCGACCACAGAGAAGTGATGAGCGAGAAAGAAACATGCTATGCTCATGTGTGCATCAAAATTAATCAGAAGACTAACGTTTTTTCCATTAAAAAACACTGGTTTGCTGATGGTGTGAAGCCAAGCGCTCATTAATTGCAAAGCAGAACCAGCGGACCTTTTTCCCTGCTGCAGGTTGGGGTTAATTGTGTGCTCTGTGGTTACGGTGCAGTAAAATACATGAACTTGTGTGTCTTTCACACTCAGGCAGTTACAAGTAGATGATCAACCACACACATAAATATGCACCATCCATTCAGTTTATGCTACTTTTTCCCTGCGTTAAATTTGACCTACAATGATGTTCTTCAAAAGAACGGTGATTATTATCCGGTAAAGCAATCATGACCGTTTTCATGTACTAAATCAGGCACAATGACTCCCTCAGCTTCAAGCACAAACACTTTGTTTGGCTGTAAAGATGAAACATTTCTCTGTGTTCAATGTGTCGTCTGTAATAGGAAGGTTTGGTGTCACTTCAGTTCATTCCAGGCAGCAGCAGCCAGGGTGGTTGATGTTTGGAGCACAGCGGCAAGAAAACACAAATACATCCTTTAAAGTACCATCCATCATCTTTACTCACTTCTTCCTTTTGGAGTCATGGGGGTCACTGATGTCCATGTCCAGCAGTCACTGTGCGAGAGGTGGGAGACACCCTGGACAGGTCTCCAGTCCATCACATGGACACATAATGAGACAGAGTCAGAGTCAGAGATTCTTTATTGTCATTCGCACCTCATGTGGTACATGTGGTGGAGCGAAATTATGTACACGGGGTCCCAGTTACATCCAACAATAAAATGATAAGAAAAACAGTAATAACATCTAAGATATGAACTAAGAAAAACATCAACTAAATATACACTAAGCACCATTCACTCACTCTCTCTCTCACCTAGGGACAATTTAGAGTTACCAATCAGTCTAACATGCATGTTTTTGGTCTGTGGGAGGAAACTGGAGTACCAGGACAAAACCCACGCATGCACGGAGAGAACATGCAAACTCCACCCAGAAAGTTCCCCAATTCAATCTGGCAACCTTCTCGCTGAGAGGTGGCAGCTCTACCAACTGCACCACCGTGCCGCGCCCCCCTTTAAAGTACCAAGGTCTGAAATTTTGAAAAAAGACACAAAGCTTACAATCTGTGCTGAATCATGCAGGAAATAAAAAGCACGTCCAAAATGATTTAGAACAACTAACACCAGCACTCCTTGAAAGATGTCATATTGCCCATCAGGTTGCATAACAAAGTCTGAAATAAAATACCCAACACTCAATCTGTTTGTACTTGGAGAGTGTACTCAAGATGACTACCTCACCAGTTTTTCCAATATTATTTATTTATAGTCCTATTGGTTTTTTGTTTGTTTGTTTGCTGAGTTTACTAAGTTGGAAATCAGGTTAATCTGTTCTAGATATATTTTCAGTGATTACTTTTCAAGAGTTTCATTAAA